ACGACACAGGCTCTCAGGAGGCTGAGACAAGGGGACTACAAATTTCAAGCTAACCATCCTGGGCTACAGTAAAGTTAGCTTATGGCTAGCCTCAGCTACATAGTCTGTCTCAAACAATGACGAAAACAAGGCACAGTGACAATGTAAGAACTTCCACCACTTGCTAAAAAAATATAAAAATGAAAAGTCTCTATCTCTCTGGTCTCTCATAGAGATCACTAAAATGTTAAAATTAGAAGGACAGATGCCCTTCCCAGCCTTCCTATTTATGGGAAGACTGAACCTATAGAGAAAATGAAAGTTCAAGGTCACACTGGTTTCTTTTTTTTTTTTTAAACTTTTATTGATTCTTTGTGGACTTCACATCACGCATTCCGCATTCCGATCCCACTTATCTCCCTGTTCTGAATCCACCTTCCACACTTGCAACCTTGCCCCAAATCAAAACCAAACCTAAAAGAAAAACCCAAAACCAAAACAAACAACAAAACAAAATAAAAACAAACAAAAGTCGGAGAATCTTGTGGAAGGTTACCCTTTAGTCCACAAGTGTTTATTTCCTGGAGTCACTGGTCTGCCTCCAGGCCTGGCTTCTTACACCACTGATAAAGGGTTTGCACTGGGTTCTTCTTGGATGCCCTGTTGCCCTGTGTCATGGAGATGCTGCCGTTGTGGATCTGTAGGTTTGCCCCCTTCACAAGCTCCAACAGTTCAGAGATTCAGTGGATGCCGGGGTGGGCCAGCAAGGCCACACTGTTAAAACTCTGGTGTGGAGCAAACACCCATCAGTGGGGCCAAGGGACATGTGACTCAGCTTTCATCGGAAGGACAACACACCGAACTATTAGCAATGGTTTCAGCATCACATTTTCTAAGCAATCACCCGTGACATGTCTGAGAAACTGGACAGGGAGTAAACATGTCTGGATGGAGCTATGCTTATGACAAGATTAGGCACGAAGGAGGTGGGTGCGAAGTTCTACTCCAGCTATGCTCGGGGTAACTACCTCTAAATGTTACTTCTATTAAAAAAGAAAGAAAAGTTGGTTTTATCTAGCATCAGGTATGCCAGACACGCAGAGGAAAATTCCAGAGCTGTTCCGTCCTAACAACATGGTCAGCAGCAGCAGAAGGGGAGGCCACTGAGCTGTCTGCTTTCCGGTCTCATTGAGATGTAGTGAGAAGGAGTTATATCTGACTACAGAAAAGGTTCTGTGATTACATAAAACAGCTCAAGCCCGACCTTCAAGATGACAGCCTTCTGAGCTATTGTAGGAGGAAAAAAAAAAAACTGTGAGGGGGCGGATTCATGAAATGAGGAAGAGTAGAAACAGGAGAAAACAGACCCAAAAAACGGTCCAAGGGCAGATGAAAGACAAAATCAGCAAAGAAGGCCAAGCCAACACCATCCTCCTCCCCGCTGTGGGGTGGGGGGCTATGTGGAATCTGCTATTTATTTCCCTGTCCCATCCACACATCAGATACAACCTTTAGGGTCTAGGCAGGAGGCGCAGCAGGAGGCCAGCCCCATGGACAGTGTGAAACCCCATCAACCACCCTGGGGCTTCTCAGCCTGGTGATTTCCTTCCGTTCCCTATGCAAAGAACTTAGGTAACCAAGCAACGGTCCCCTCCCATGCCATATTAATGTGCAGCGGGCACAAACCCCCAGGTGTGAGGATACAGAACTCAAGCTGGGCAGAGCTGACGTCTGGGTTCTCTCTCCCCCAGCACTATCTTGTCCTGACACTGCAGTCCGGCCACCAGCTAAGAGGACAGCTTCAGCCTCAGGCCTGGGAGGCGTAGGGCAGCTACACGACTGGGAAGCAGGGAGATGCTTGTTCTTGCCACAGTTAGGTGCTTCTGTTCAGATGGGGCTTGGCCACAGAGCCGAGCTGACCACGCCTATCCTAGGGGAACCTTAAGTCCTTAAACATCTGACCCCTTGACTGGTGTTCATTAGGTCAATGGTGAACCTACCAGAAAGGCCCCTCGTGGCACAACAGACTCAATGTAGAATTTCTTACTTCTTGATGCCCCAAAGATGCTGAACACACAAGGAGATCATAGAGAAGAAAGAGCTCAAAGTCAAGGGGCTAAGCTGCTCCTCCCTTTAGCCTCACCTCTTGTCTGCCTTGGTCTCTCTTCAGCTACCACAGATACCAGTTACCCTGACTCTGGTCTTTACACCATCCGCCTCTGAGGGACACTTCCATCAGGGAGGTGCTGTGATGGCCAGAACTGGCCCAAGAAGATTGACAGGTAGGATTCTTGGGACCTTGTGCTCAGAGACCTCTCGATGTTATTGTGGACCATTGAGGCAATGAAATATTCCACACTGGCCCAACCCTCTCCCCAGCCATTGTTCTATGTGATTCTCAACCTTGGGTCATAACCCCTTTGGGAGTCAGATGACCCTTCCACAGGGGTTGACTAAGACCATCAGAAAACACAGATATTTACATTATAATTCATAACCATGGCAAAATTATAATTATGAAGTAGCAATGAAAATAATTTTATGGTTGGAGGTCACAAAACGAGGAACGGTATTAAAGGGTTGCAGTATTAGAAAGGCTGAGAACCACTGCTCTAGACCAAGGGCAGAGAAAGAAAATAACAGCTGGGGGCTTAAGAGATGGTTCAGGGGTTAGGAGCACTCATCACTCTTCTCGGGGATCCATGTTTGGTTCACCCCACCCACATGGTGGCTCAAATCATCTGTGCCTCCTGTCCCTCCTGTCCCAGGGGGTCTGATGCTTCCTTCTGGCCTCCTCAGGAGAGAGAGAGAGAGAGAGAGAGAGAGAGAGAGAGAGAGAGAGAGAGAGAGAGAGAGA